TTAATTTACAAAATATTAACAACATGAGAAAGATGCTGCATCAAGTGTATTTTGGGGGGAGTTGTTGCAACAACAGCGCCAACTTTTTATTAATTGCATTCAAGCGACAAATTTTTCGCAAAATTTGCATTCACAGCAAATAAAGTTACAGGCGGAACCATCAACAACATCATTATCACCAACACCATCATCATCATCGCATCGGCATCAGCATCAACAACAGCATCAGCAACAGCATCAGCAAACTGCAACTGCAACACATGCAAATTGCCTGCACTGCTGCTGCTGCGGCATTCAATGACAAGTGGATGTCAACTAAAAGGCGGCAGCAGAAGGAGACGTCGCCGTTGAGTTGACAGTTTTTCTGGGGCAGTGGCAGCCAATAAATAACCAGTGAAGAACAAATGAAAAATATTAAAAGCTGACGGATGGTTGCGTTTGCTTGCCACTCTGCCACCCCGCCATTGCCGCTACACTCGCAAACCCAACCCACTGCGCCTGGTGCGAGGCCTGAAACAATGCGACCTGCAGCCAAGACAAATGAGCGCAAGCTGCCACCTCGTTAGGTTGTGGCAACAGTCGCTGCTGCGTTGCATCCATCCAAGTTCAATGCTTGTTGCGCCACACACAGCACAGTGGGGCGAAGACTACTTTTAATTAATTTCATTTAATTAATTTTACTTATCTTAAGAGCTAAAAATATTTGATAGAAATTAGCAAATTTTGTTCAAAATAAATAATATATATAATGCTAAACTTTGACTTGATTTTATTTATTTTGAATCTACAAGTTTATTTTTATATATTGAAATTAATAACTATAAATCTCTCTTGTTGCGAAGCAGAGAACAGTAGGACAAATACACTATTTTATTTGAATAAAATATTTTGGTTTTGAAAATGTTTTTTATTTATATTTTCCAGTTAAAAATATCTGCTTTATATTACAAATGCTTTAAGAAAATAAGTAGTACAGCTGTTTATTTTTCGGTAACTTCTTTTTATAATTTCTACAAGTTTGAAATGTTTTTAAAACAAATTTAATAAATTCTAATTAAAAAATTATTATTACTTCTAGACCTACATGTTTATTTTTATACATATTATATATATATATATATACTATATTTTTTATGCCCACAGTTCTATTGCATGTAAATTAGCTATTTTTTCTTTGAATTTCAACGAGTCTTGTTTGCAATTGAAAAAGAGAGCGTAAATATCTTTATTAGCAACTAAAAATTAGATAGATACAAATGTAAAAGGAGTGAGAGCCAAGTGGAGAAAAGAGGTCCGTTGAGTTTGGCCCTCGTTTTATGAATTCGATTTGGATGTGTTTGATTGCTGCATAATTTAATGCTGATGAGGCGGGTTGATGGACCGGGAAAGGTATTTTACATAATAAAACGAATATAAATACAGCTGCCCCCAAAACACTGAGCACTCTGGGGCAGCATTTCAAGAGAGTGTTGTTATATATATAAAGAAATTTGAATAAATATAAATATTGCTGTAAATCACAATCAAGCCAATCGAAGAAATAGAAACACCCACTATTTATAATTTTTTTCTTTTTCTTTATTTTTTGATGTGGCTGCCAGTTGGTCGCGACGCTTCGTCGCCCAACAGCGACAGTTTCATCATTGAATCAGCAGCTCTTTGGGTCGAACGAATATCAGAGCAGAGCAGCGTTAGATACTAAAACTGAGCATATTTATTGCCCAGTGCCTGTCATATATTTGTTTTATAGCACGCACAACATTCTCAAATTGACCGAAAAACATTTCATTATGAGACGTTTTACAAAATTAGAACAAAAGGCCAAGCACAGCCCAAAATCAAAATACTTAAGACAATTAGCTAAATCAGCAACAGATGCATCTCTCCAAGCTGAAGAGAGGGCGAGAGGAGGCGAGGGGTAACGTCTCATCTTCACTCAGATATTGTCGTCATCGTTGAACATTCAAAAATGCCACCGATTGTGGATCGAGTGTGGAACAGTCGGCTGGACGACATAAATAATCACCGAAAATAAATGCGACGACACAATTTGTGTTTCTTATTAAAACAACTCATAAATCGAGTCGAAATTGTCATAAGATAAAATCCGCAAAAGAATTCATCAAATACTGAACAACATTTAAAATGTATATTTATAGAACATTTCGAAATTTTAAGATTTGCGCTATTTCACTCATATTTTTATTTATGATATTGATGTAGGTACAAATATATCACATATATATTACTAGCTCGTTAAGTATGCTGAACTTGGGAGACACATTTAGAGCAACCAGCAGAATATGGTTTTAAATATTATAAATAAACGATTTAAGTATAAAATAATATAGTTTTACACAAAGAATTAAATGTTCTATGGCGCAAACTAAAAATATTGCATCCATAAGTGATTCGATATATAATTTTAAGTTTTTGTAGTATGTGCATTAACTAATAGATAGTAATATAATTATAAGTATCATATTACTAACAAACATTTTTATAGAAACAATCATGGTTTAGTGGTAATCAAATCAATTATTCGATTTGTTCATTTGACCCTTTGACAAGGCAGCGCAATCAAATCGCTCTGTAATCGGATTCGCTTTGCTGATATATATATATATATATATATATTTATTTAAAGTTTTATTGAGTGCAAAATGTGGTGCAAATCTATGCATAGAAATAAACGCCAGTGTTTTGCAATAACTTAGCCGAGAGGGAAGTGGGGAGTGCTGAGCTGTGAGTGGGCATTGTACATGCAGCATGAGATTTGAAATTCAAGCAGCAGGCCAGCGTTGACCAATGGCTGCCAGTGCCATAAACAAAACGTTTCGCTGAGGCTGCAGGCCAAAAACAGCAAACGCCAACGACAACAGCAGCAACATCAGCAACAGCAACAGCAACAATTGCAACAGCAGCAGGCAACAAAAAGTGGCAGACGCAACAAGGCAGCAAACATTCTCGACATGAGCAGCTGATATTTCACATAAACGACATAAACACTACATCCAGCTACAGCCCATGCCCAAGGATTGGCATCGGCATCGAAACGCTGACTGCGAAGGTGTAGCTGCAGCAACGGCAATTGCAACTGTGGCTACCAGCAGCAGCAGCAGCAGCAGCAACAGCAGCAACATCGACAGCAGCAGGGCGACGGCGGATGGCCAACAAAGCAACTGAGGGAAAGTGCATGCTGAGCTCTTGGGCTCTGAGCTTCAGACTGCGGCTTGACGACGCCATCGCCATCACCACCAGAGTCAAAACCAAAGCCATAGTCACAGCTCGAGGAGCAAATATATCAAAAGCGATCGATCGCCAATGTCGGGAGCTGTTGTTGGGTTTTCATTTTTGTTGAGTAGCAGCCGCGCGAAATTTCAACGAAAATTCAACACTTTGGCGACTATTGTACACACTTCTGGAGTGGTTCGATCACTTTAGGCAAATTTCTAGAAATACTGAAAAAAAGCAAGCAAATTGAACATTTATTTGATAAAAAAAATTATAAAACATTTATGAATTTTTATAATCTATCTATTCCAACTTATGACAAATTAAATTAGTTTTACTTATTTCGCAGATACGACCTCAATAAAAAAATATTATCTTTAGTGCAATTTCTGATATATAAATATATCTTTCTAAATCTGTATCATCTGTTTTTTTCATATATATATATAAATATATAGTTGATACTATCAAGTTGGAAATGTATCTTATTTGCAGCCCATGCCTATGCATTTTTCAAAGGAAATTTACGCATTAATTTGAATTCTAATTATTTGACGGCATATTTCTGGCCGTTACTCGCTGCAGAGAATTGTATGCCATATTTATCAACAACCCCCACACACACACAAACACACACACACAGAGAGAAAGAGACAACTCGACCACTGAGATAGGAGAGGCGTTACAAGCTGTATATGTTAGCCATGGCACCTTCCCGAGGCAATCGGCAATGTAAATCCAATTTGATCTGTGCCGAATGCTTTTGTTCGATGTGGCAGCCGCTGCTGCCGTCGAGCTGGCAACTTTTTGCGAGATCACAGATCGTGGGGATGCTGTTGCTGTTTGCTGTTGCTGTTTGCTGTTGCTGTTGCCGTTGAATGCAACGATGGTGCAATGGCAGCAACAATTGCAACTGGCCAAGTTGCCAGGCAAACTACCACTTGGCTTGGCTACCTTATTCGCTCCGATCCGATTGGCATTGGCAGCGGGCCCTCAAAACTTTGAACTGTTGCGCTTGCGACTGCTGACTTGTGCCGGCTTTCAGTTTGTTGTGGTCATCAAGGGACAGAACTGGACAGACACACGAACAACGTGTATAAGCATTCGTGTTGTTGTTGCTGCTATTGTTGCTGTCCAAGTTGTGGATGTTGCACTGCTGCAAATGAAACTGCAACAGCAACAGCATAAGCAACAGTTGCATGTGCCGATCGAGCGACTTTTACAAGCCCAAAAGAATGGCGACACTTTTTTTGCGCCTTTCGTCGTCGCATTGTGTGTAGCTTTTGGGCAAATGCGAAGATTTGCAACCGCGATATCAACGTCTGCGATAGGCTCAGTCCCCTATGCCCCAACCGAGTCGCTGTTGAGGGGCCTTGTCAAGGAATTAGCATATGAGAGAAGCCAGCATGAAAATGGCTCGAGGTGCCACAAAATATAATACTGATGCATATGGCATAATCGCAAATGCTTAGTAAGGCAATAAAAACAATAATTGTTATAAGATATTGTAATATCATACTGTAAGGATATGGAAAATATTGTAAAATGTCGCTAGGATATTATTCCCATATAAATTTATATTTTCATTTGGAGTCTGAAATAGTCTGCGCACTTATTAAGATTAAAATGGAATTTTTTCAAATCAAAAGTTTAACATAACCTGCTTTCTAAAATCGAAAAAACTGAGCAGTCTATTGCAGAAAGACAACTGAAAGAATTTAGAGAAACTTCAAAAAAATACTTTTCATTAATTTTAAATGTACAACATGTCTTCTGCTGAAGACGAAAAGACGTCGGCTGTCTCAAAAAATGAGTCGAGGTTTAGGCCAACTATTTTCAGCAATGCACCCAATCATCTCGATGATCATCTCCTGTCCCAGGGCAGAAAGAATCTCAAGAAATGGCTGGGACTCATGGTGCGTGTCACACTGAAGAATAAAATGACTGTGATGGGCATCTTTAGCTGCACCGATCATGATCAGAATATAGTATTGGATTGTAGTGCGTTCAATGAAATTGGTATGGTCATCGTCACTGGCAATCAAATAGATAAATTTGAGGTGAATGTGCCTCAAAATATGGAACAAGAGATGGACAAAGATGCCGAGCAATCGAACTATCCAGAGAAAGTTAATTAAGCAATCATTATTATTAACTGTCATTCGATTATCGATGGTAATAAATATCACACTTTTAAAAATAAACCTTGGATTACATTAAACAATTGTAAATATCGCAATGCCCTTAGGGACAGGTCAAACACTTCCGTTTTAATCAAGGTTTGGCCTCTAGAACCAGACTACATTTAAAGTTGTACAAATTATTTTGCAGGAAATTCACAAGTTGTGCAATAATAATTGCATTCGTAATGAATTATCTAGGTCAGGTTCGTCCACAATGAGCAATGTTTCATAAGAAAGATTTATTCAAACTTCACTCGAACCCAATTCCAATTTCGAACTTGAACTTTAGCCGGGCATGCTGGGCGCATTGTTTCATCATTGAACTCCTTCTGTTTGTCATCCATAATATTGAACGATGCTCTAACCTCCAAGTACCTTGGGCTTATTGTTTTTGTTGTTCTTGTTGTGGTTTTCTGATGCGACATTTTTGGCGAGCCGTTTCTTGAGCCTGAGCAGCGAGTCTGGAGACTGCAGACTGGAGTAGGTGCCTTTATTTATGTTTATGGCATATGAGACACGACGACACTGCATTGCATTAGTTGCAGCTACCAAAACCCACAGAGCCCATCGAATCCAGGGACATAGCCTGCTCCAGATGCCTCCAGTCTCTATATGTTGGAAAATAATGGCGCACAATGTGATTTTGCGTTGACATCTTGGAATTTGGTAAGCGCGCGCGTTCATGTCTCATCAGCTTGTTAGGAGTCGCAAATGGTGAGGCAGGCAAACGGGTAGCGGCGAGGGGCATCGATTGAGACCCAGCGAGAGAGATGTCCATCGCAATTGTCTCTGCTGCTAACTGAGTTAGTAGCTGCATCTCCTGGTCTGGGTCTCGTTTTGTTTGCTGGTTGGCTCAAGCGAACCGATCCTCGAATTCGAGCATCCAACCAGCCACTCAGTTGGCTTGGATTGTTCCTCGCACGCGTGCGCATTTAACGAAATTTATTGGAGCCTGTGCTCTGGAATTTGGGCTTGTGTTTTGTGTCTGTCTATCACTTGGTTGGCCCCTTTCGGGGTCTCCATTGGCTCCAGTTGCAGCATCTTCTGCCTGCCCCATTGTTGTGGACCTTAAAGTCTTCGGCTGCTGCTGCTGCTGTTGCTGCTGCTGCTGTTGCTGCTGCTGCTGCTTTTGCTTGTGCCTTTCTGACCGTTTTTGATGCGATCGATTTTTAAATAAACGCGTCGTCAGCTAACCAAGTAACTATTTTTGTTTCCTCTCCTTAGCTTGCAGGCTGTCAACAGCAGCAGCCATGAAAAGGAGTAAGCCTGACTTCTTCTTGTTTATTTTTTTATTTTTTTTAAGTATTTTATCAGTTTTGGAGTTTGGTGGAAGCGCTGATAAGGATCGCGCCACTTTTCAAGAGTGCCTGAGAGTTTTCGGGTTCTCGGTTTCGCGTAATGAGTTCGTTTCACAGCCATCGAAAGCTGCCCAACTTTTGGCAGCAGCCATCTGACAATGTGATTAGCTGAATGCGACATTTGTTAAGATCGTTTTCCGCAACTCACAAGCCATCAAATGGAAGGTATAAGTAAATTGGTTTGGTAAAGTTTCAAAAAAATGTTTAGCTGTTTGCAATAATGACTTGTCAATATCTAAAACATGTAATAATGAAATGCCGTAGCTTTCAACAAACAGATTGTTTGCCTCCGATTTAGTTTAAGTACTTGAAAAGCATTCCAAATAAAATCTTATCAAATTACTTATGCTAACTTTTAGTAACTTTTAATCACTTAAGTTGTCTATTTAAAATATGTAGATGCAACTGAATTTTGACTTTGATCTCTATTCAATTTCAATTCCGTTAAACTTTGTGCATTGACTACCGAATCAAGCTTCGGGGAATGCAAACAAACTACTACTGTGTTGGCTGCTGACGATGGACGGTGATATTATGGTTCGATAATATCGAATTTCATACAATTCAGTTTGGTGATTTTCTGTTTAGCTTCTGTTGACTGCTCGACTGTTTTTGTTGGTGGTTTATCAAATGCTTTGTAGTATTTGATGCCCGACGAGGGAAAAAAATAAATTACGCCACAAAAAAGCACTGAACCAAATTAAGTTGGGTAGGTGCAAAGGGAAAGGGGGGGAGAGGGGATCTGAATCTGAATCTTGGAATCTGCGCTGTTGCCGACAAATTCGAAATGCCGCCACACGAAAAAAAAAAAAATTTAAATAGTAGAAAGAGTGAAAGGCAAATCAGAAGTTCTTAATTCCAATGCAGAGAACAGATTTCTGAATGCGGCTTGTTGTTGTTATGTTGGTGTTGTTGTTGTTGTGTTGCTCTTGTCTTCCAGACGAACTGACATTCAAATTAAATTGGATTAGCAGCGTTCCCTTGTCAATCTGGCCGAAAACGCGCACCAACTTTAGTCCCAAACTGCAGAGCAGTTCCACAAGAAGAACTCCCGAAGAACTCTTTTGCGCAAATCTCATGTGGCTGACAGTGACATATTTTGTGACAGCTGATGGAATATGCTGGAGTTGGGTCGGCGTTGATTTTGGCGATGGATGCAGAGACTGCAGAGGCTACTCCTTCAGGCACTGCCTAACTGACTGACTGACTGACTGGCTGACTGACTGACTGACTGACTGACTGACTGACTGACTGGCTGACTGACTGATCCACGCAAGCACTCTCCCATTTATTCTGATCCATCATCGTGCCGCAGTCGGCAGTGTCAACTTTATTATAATGTTGACTCCGCGAAACGATTCTCTGGATACTGGAAGCTGCTGCTGGCGGCACCATTTGATCGCTCCATTGCTGCTAATCCTTTTCGCAATGACTTGACAGCTGGCTGGCATCCTTCTTAAATTTCGCGGTGCCATCAATCAGGCGGATGCGTTGCCCTAAGCCCGCCGATCGTCGCGCTAATTAGTCACTCAGCCAGTTAGTCAGACAGTCAGCCAGTCAGTTAGTCAGTTAGTCTGCTATCAAATTCATATTGGTGCCACATTCAGCTTCCGCCGTGGCAGCGGCAGCAGCAGCAGCAGCAGCAGCAGCAGCAGCAGCTACTCTGTCGATCAGTGGCGCGATCTTGACTTAACGCAGAGAATGTACTTAGTGGCTGCAGTGATCAATCAATGATGATTAATGCAAATGCAAGGTCAGCAAATTGCCAGTCCCTGCACTCCAGTTGAGAGAGAGAAAGGCAGATCGCCACACACACACATCAATCATTCATTACTTGATCAAGTTGTCGGCTTGTCGCTTCGTCGTCCCTCCACAAACTGAAGTGTCCATGATGCATGATTATAAATTGTCAGTTTGAGATCTAGTCGCCATACCCATCCTCAATTCCACATTCCCATGTCGCTGTCACTTTGATGCAGCTTCAATCTCGATATCAAATCTCACCTGTGGCACTTGATTTGCCTCGCCGGCGAACTGCAATTTGCAATTGCTCTCAGATAAGCTTAGCTAATTAATTTGATAATTGACTGCGCTTCGCTTTTCTGGCTTCTTATGATGGACACTGGAACATCTTACATTAGATCAAAGTCGAAAGCCTTTTGCATAAGCGATGCTAAGATGGACAGATTGCTGAATCTATCTGTAAGCCATCTGGACAGTAACCAGTTTATTCAATTAAATCTTTCGTTTGGAGTAGACACGGGTATGCCATTAGAGAAATGTGAAACACATTGAAGAATGCATCCGCGATATCATTAGGAATATCATTTTTAATCCGATTGAACAAGAAAGCGAGTAGCCAATCTAGCTAAATTCAAAGCACCAACAAATAAGTATGGTGAAAGTAAATTAGATATACATCATTCAAGAATTCTCGATATAGCTTTTGATACTAGTTTGGCTTAATTCAATATTCTACAATTCAAACTTAAATATAACGCAAAAACTTTGTCAAATCACTTTTTGCAACTGTCTAAATTCTCGAAAACTTACAACGGATTTAAGAAAATCTATTTAAAATGTAATAAACCAAAAATATAGTTAAAGTAAATGAAGTAATCATATTTGAGAAATGCTCGACTACAATTAAATGTGCATTTAACTACCCATGCACATTTGACCTTGCGGAGATTTCTCACTTTCACTTTGGCACTCGCAATGAGCCCAAAATCTTTTGACAACAAAACGCCTTTTGGCCCAGCACCTACACAAAGCAAACAAACATTTTAATTGCCCAAACCGCTGAGTGCGTCACGCCACGAGAATCACAAAGTCGGCTGGCAAAAAAAAAAAGAAAGAAAAATATTTGCTCAACTGCTACCTGCCACAACTTTCACCGATACAGCTCGGCTCGGATCAGGGCGGTGGCGGAGGGAGGGAGAGAGGGATGGACGGATAGAGGTAGTCAAACGCAATTCGTTGCACACCCGCGTAGCCGGTTCTCGTTGTCGTCAAGTAATCCGCACTAATCCGTCAGAGACGGCGACGCAATGTTGGCAAATGCGATTTTCCCGGCAACTGCATCACTGTCACAACATTTTCCGGCTGCGACTCCTGCGGCGACGAAAATGCGCCTGTGCGACGTGTGTTGGCATAACAGTTGCACATTTGCATTTGCATTCGGACCGAGGGCACACAATGCCCGGCACGCCCAAGTTGTCCAAAACAATTGCAATGGTTAAGTGACAGGGCCCAGAAGCCGGATCTGATTTATGGGCCACGTTTCACTTTCGCTTCTCGCTTTCAGATTGTTTTTCTTTTTTTGCCTGGATCAAAGGGATAAACTGATACAGTTTGTGTGTGTGGAGAGTTCATTTCCAGATCTTATGAATAAGGATCTGCGTTACTTTCCCTCGTAAATCACTCAAACCCAAATCCTTTTCGGTACAATGATCCCTGTCACGCTGACCTTTCTTACGTTCAGCTATCGTAGAGAAAGTCGTCTTTTAATATAGATCCCTTGACGAATTTCTAGTACTACTAAATAAAACTTCTGTGCAGGAACTGTACAATAATTAATTATTTACTTGCACTTTA